AGCCCGCACCCGCGCGATCCGCGGCCCCTCTGCGGCCTCCGCCCCTTCCCGGGCAGTCGTCTCCTTCACCCTCTCCTAGCCACTCCCCGAGGCCAGCGGTCCCCAAAATGGGTCCCGGCCCGAGGCCCCGACCCGGCTCGGGGCTGCGGGCGGGCTGGGCGGCGCGTCCGGCGACTCGCACAGGAAAGCGGACGGCGAAGGGAGGGAGCTTGGGAGAGGGGGATGGGAGAAGGGAGGAAGAGGGAGAAGGAGGGAGCGCGGAGGAACCGAGGAGAGAGGGGCCTGGAGGGAGACGCGAGGGAGGGAGAGCGAGGCAAGCTGCGAGGGGGGAGAAAGGGGGATCCGGAGAGGGGGAGGCGCTGTGTGAGTTGGCCGAGACCGCGGCCGAGGGGGCCGGGGCGCGGGGAGGGGTTCGCCGTGGCGGAATGTGGGGAGCCCGCGGGCCTGACGCGAGAGAGGGTTGGGCTGAAGGGGCTGTGGGTTATATGAGCAGATATGGAGGAGGTTGGAGAAGTTTGGGGGCGTCGGGGCTCAAGACAGAGGTGAAGTGGGAGGAGTTTGAGGAGGGGGAGACTTGGGTAGAGATTGGGCTGAAAGGTTTAGGTGGAAAGAGTGGAAAAATGGAGCTACAGGGGGCTTTGAGGGGACAATGAAATGTGTGGAAATAAGGAAAAGTGAAGGAAACTCGCAGTGACTCAGTGTGTGGCAGAAATGGAGAAGGAAGACTTTGGAGGACTACGACTAAAAAGAACGTTTGGAGCTATAAAATGGAAAGGATGGAGACATATATGAGACGATGGAGTTTCTGAAAGAGTAGAGTTTAAGGGTGATTAGTGTTGGGAAAAGAATAGAAAACAGAACAATTTGGGAGTGATAAAGGAAAGCTGAAGAGAAAAGCCTAGAGATACCAGTTTTAAGAGGGATGGGGAAGTATGCAGAGCCTTAAGGAGAGAGGAAGGAAGCTGGGCCAGATGTATATTCTAGGGGAGACTGGGATTCTGAATGGGACAAGAGGGTAGAAAGGCAAGGATAGCTTGATTTAGGGGGTAAGATAATCAGAGGGCTGGGTTGATAGGACAGAGTAGATAGAATTTGGGGAAAAGGTTTAAGGAAGATTGGTAGGTTAAGGCTTTTGGTGGGAATATGGAGAAGGGAGAGTCATTGATGGGGAAGACAAGAGAATTGGAAACTAGGAGAGCCTATGCCTGGGTGTGAGTAAAGAATAAAACATAAGAGTGGGGTAGCCTCAGGCCTTGCATCTGGTGGCTTCTCTATTTTCAGTCTTAAGTCTGTTTGAAGGCACCACCGATTGTGCCTTGGACCACAGGAAGGAGACTGGTGAGAATTAGGTTCAACCAGGAAGCCAAATCCCTAGATGCTCTGGTTCCCAAATCCCAGTCATTGTCAGGTAGATATGAGTGCCACTACAGACCACACTGTAGGCTCTTCCTAACACCAGCCACCCTCCTCCCTTCACTGCTCTCCAGGCAGTCTCTGATGCTGTCAGTCTGCCAGCCATTCCTGGTCTGCAGCCACAAAGCCAGCACTCCGTCATTCCACCACTAGCTGCCTTCTTCTCGGTTCCTTCCCTAGACCCACACTAAGCAGCTCCATCTCTTAGGACAAAGGACACCAAGACACAGGGTGATTTTTGGCAGCTGAGATTGGGAAGGCCAGAGAATAGGAAAGAGGCAGGCTGGGAAACAGGAAGAGCTGGAGCTGGAGTCTGGATCGGGAGCCCTCCAGTCTCAAGGTAGAGGTAGAATATTCATGGGGTTAGTTTAGCCAGAAGCCAAGTTTGGCCTTGAACTGGCTGGATCCCCCAATTCTGGGAGGAAAGGCAGGAAGACTATCTAGCAACTCAGTAGATGTCACCTTATATTTCCTCTTGCCAGGTTCAGCCAACATTTAGGAGAACCCAAAAGCTCTCAAATGTATTCTAAAGCACTGAGGGACAAAGAGGCTCCTTTGGTTTAGAAATTAATCACCACTCTGAGTCCCTTAGATTGTTTAGCACTCATTACTCCAAACCCATCTATTTCCCTTACCCTGCCTTCCAGAGATTAGGCCAACCCCTTCTCCCTGGGCTCCTGGACTCCTAAGTGTTCCAGGGTAGCTGCACTCCTCCTACCCCTGCCCCCAACTTTGTTCCAAGACTCCTCCTTCCCCCTCACACTCCTCCCTACTGCATTTCCTCTCTTTTTGCACTTTTCAGTTCAGTCTCCCGCTGGGCCCTGTCCCAAGCCTTTCCCAAATCCCTTCTAGGCTGAGAACGTCTCCCTTGTTCTATATCTACTAAGAAGTGAGCAAATATGGTGACATCTATCTGAATCCAAAAAGAAAAGATGACTTATGTGTAATAGAGTTATAATGAGGGGCATGGACATAGGGAGAGGCAGAAGAAAAACTGGGGTTCCACCCCCTACAATTCCTTTCCATGTGAGGGACAGGCTCACATGCAGCTTCAGGGAGCATTACACACACACACACCTCACCTCAGCTCTCTTTTTCTGGCCCCAGCCCCCCCCACAACCCACTGGTCTCTAGGCAACAGCACAAAGGGAAAGTGGAGAGAGGGGCCTGGGAGGCCCAGACAGAGTTAGCTGTAACCCAATCCAATCCAGTACCTGGGGCAGAAGGGGGGTAGTATATGGCTGTCAGAGAAGGCAGCAAAGCAAGAAGGGATGAAAGAAAGGACATTGATTAGGAAATGTGGCTGGAGCCAGAACCAGGGTAAACCTGGGAGTTACTGAAGAAAGATGAGAGTTATGGACCACAGAGAAAATATTATAAACCTTAAGAGGGTCAGAAAGGCCTCCAAGGCAGAAAAGACAGGAAAGCTGAGATGACCATACTGAAATTAAGCGGCACAGGAGAGCAAGAAGCTCCTGCAACTGAAAATGGCTGAGGTGTCAGGGACCCAAAACAGGGCAGAAATGGGCCATACCTACACAAACCTGAAATCCTTTTAGCTCTTGAGCTGGGTGAATAGCAGAAGGTACCCCTGGGCCAAAACTTGAAAAAACCTTGAGTAGAAAGCCCAGAGGGTACAGCCTCGAAATACCTCCCAACCCACCCCCTGGAATCCAGCATGGTTACAGAGCCTTGCCTCCCTCTAGTGGCCACCACTCCCCACCTGCAGCCCTCGCTGGTATTTGCTAGTTTGTGAATCCCAAATCCAAGCTTAGGCTGCCTCTCCTTCCCCCACGTGTTGGTCTGTAGGCTGGGCGTCCTATTGCTGGGGCTTCACATACTGGCAGCCCCTGCGCAGTCTGACCTAGCTGTAGGGTCTGTCAAACACTACTCGGGACTCAAATTTTTTCAGGCTCTTGTGCCACTTTTCCTTTCCCAGTTCTCATCTTGCAGGAAGTGATGGTCATGCAGTCCTGGTCAGGATTTCATTTGGGATAACCCAAGTCCAAAGCTTTCCTGATATTTTTAGGGACTCCTGGACACCAATCAGTTCTGACTCATGTGACCCCATGTGAGTCAGTGCTGATTTTTCCATAGTTACCAGGCCTTTTCTTCCAAGGCACCTCTGGATGGACTCAAACAACCCACTTCTCAGTTGCTGAGCAAATTAACTATCTGTACTACCCAGGGACCCTAGACTGCAGGTTAAGAAATGCTAATGCAGATTAGGTCCTGGGGCCAGATTTGCTGCTAAGAATGCAGAGGCATCTCCTTGGCCATGTTCTGTTTGTCACCAGCCTCCTTACAACCACCCTAGCTGTGCTGTTCGGTTTCATCCACTTCTAGTTGTTCTGTCTTTTATCAGACTAGAATAAGACTCTTTAGACACAATCATGCACTGTAATTCAGACTTTAATGGTGGTGCTCTCAATGCCACAAAGGTGCTAGCAACTGTGGAACATGGCACAGGAGAGTGAGACGTTGTTCTGGTGCAGCTCAAAGAACAGGGAACGTAGGGTTGGGGAGAGATTGATAGGAGAAGAGTTCCCCAGGCACACAGCCTCACCTCTGGACCAAACCAGGCTTCTGTCACACAGAAAGGAACTGATGGCAAGCTCCCTTTCTGTTACCCTTCCCATTCCAGCAAGACCTCCCAACCCAGGTCATCTTGGGATCCACAGTCACACGAAATGCATACATGAAGTCCCTAAAAAAAAGGCCTGTTTTAGTGTTAGAGACACAAGATGAAAAATAAATAAATATACATACATACATATACATACCAAAGCCTTAGACTAGGCACAACCATACACCCTGCACTCACACCTCAGCACTGCATGCAGTTCATAGTTCATGTGCAACGTAAAAAACTTAGGGGAACAAGTACATAGCACAAGTGACACATGGCCCCACTCTAAACACCTTAACACACCAACCCTGATGCTTCCATCACAGACCCTGATCATTCTTCTATGAACCTCCTTGGAATCCTCATACCCATTTCCAGGTTTTGTGGAAAGAGAAAATAGGAAAGAGAAGTGGAGAGTGTGGAAACCCAAGCAGTGGCCCCAAAAAGAGAGCAGAGAAAGCAGGTTGGGCAAGCCAAGGAGCAGCTGGGGAAGGTTCCTTAGGGAAGTTCTGGTGGCCCTGGGGCTCTGAACATCTCAGCAGGTGCAATATCACAGATCAAGACAGGAAGAGGCTCAATGAGGATGGGAGAGAGATTCCAATCTCCAGGCAAGGAGGGGCTTCACAGCACACTGGGATTGCGGAAATTATGTCCAGCGAAGCGTGCCTCATCTCCCAGCTCTTCTTCAATTCTGAGAGAGAAGAGATAGAGAAAGGAAAACAGTCAAGGAAGGCAGAGAATCCTGCTCTTCTCTCTAGGAATCTTTCCAGCCTTCAAAGCCCCTCAGACCCTCTGCACCTGTATTTAAGGGTGAGCATTTCCTGGTTTGCCCACATGACCTCCAGGATCAATTATACTTCCTGGATTATCTATGGCCATCCAGACCCTTGACACTGGAAAGGAAATGATGAGCAAACAGGCATTTTAACCTTCTAGGCCTTTGAGTTAACATTCCCCAGGATCACTCACCTCATGAGCTGGTTGTACTTGGCCAGACGCTCAGAACGGCATGGGGCACCAGTCTTGATCTGAAATATCCCCAAAGATAGGCAGCTCAGTAGTGGCCCCTGAACCCTCTAAAGAGAAACTTAATGACCTCTCAGAATTCTCTTGCCCCTTCAGTCACCTCAAAGGAGAGACCCACCTGAACCTAGAATCCACCAATTGCACAAAAATCTCCCTGCCACTCACCTGGCCTGTACACAGTCCCACAACCAGGTCAGCAATGAACGTGTCTTCCGTTTCTCCTGAGCGATGACTCACCATCACCCCCCAGCCATTCTCCTGGGCCAGCTTGCACCTGCAGCCATATACCTTCACTGATCACTCTAGCCCCTCTCACCAAGAGGAGCATGCTCTTGGACAGGGAGCAAAGGATCAGGAGTGCAGAGAGCAGAACTGAGGGAACTGTGATGCTAACTTTAGGTCCCTTGCTCTCTTCAGCATCCTTAGACAAGATAAGGCTGGGGGCGCTTGTGAGAGGGGTCTGGTAGAAGCAAAAGCTGAGAGGAGTCACTCACGCCTGGATGGCTTCAGTGACTGAGCCAATCTGGTTGACCTTGAGCAGGAGGCAGTTGCAGGCCTTTTCCTCCACTGCCCGCTCGATGCGCTTGGGGTTGGTCACTGTCAAGTCATCACCCACAATCTGGATGCCTACATTGGCTGTAAACTTGGACCAGGCAGCCCAATCATCCTGGTCAAATGGATCTTCAATGGAGACAACTGCAGGGGAGCAGAGAGAGTCTATTGGTCCTCCCTGGGTCTCTATTGGGCAGTAATTCCCAACCTCCACTCTGTTTAAAATGTAGAGGTCCCCTAATAACGGAGCCTGCTCATCCTTGCCTCTATACCAAAGCAAGCCTGCCCTAATCAGTGCTAATACTGATTGTTATTTCACAAAACCTTTCAAGAATGAAGACTGAGAACCTTCCTCAAAACTTTTCATTTTACTTCTCTATTCTGGCTAAGTCTTTCCTCATTACAAATCTGTATCGTCCTGCAAATTGTGTCTAATTTCTCTTGCTCTGTCTCTAGCTAGATGGGAGACCAAATGCCTCCATCCTAAGGAAAGAGCCCTTGGATATATGGAGAAGGTGACTAAGTTCATCCTAATCCTTTTCTTCTACCCTACATCAGTCCACAATCTTTTCAGAATCACAGTTTAATCAAAGATACTGAAGTGTGTTGGTTACAAACTCTGCTAAGACCAGTCACACTCTGACTATCCTGGTTCATTCTAAAGTCCCCTCCACGATCCTTGTAGCCCCAGAGCCCATCTCAATAATAAAAACCCAAAGCAGATAGAGCAGATCCATCACAGGTTTCTGTACATCTCCATTACATACAAAGCCTAGTCTTTTGCGGGAGACTTTTTCACCTCATCCCTTGTTCTCGAGTTCTTTTTAGAACACTTCCACCTGGCACCTAAGTCCACAGTCCTGATCCACCACACCCCAAGCCTCTTCAACTTCTTGTGCCCTCACCAGGATAGTCCCTGACAAAGTCCTGGTAGAGGGCTCCCAGCTGGTCCCCAGTGATGTATCGAGAAGGATCAGGGGGAGACTTGAAGTCCAAGTCATATTTGCCATCACGATAAAACTCTGAGGCAGCAACATCCATGCCAATGACGATCTTTTCCGTGTAGCCAGCCTTGTCTATGGCTTCCTTCACCAGCTCCAAGGCTAGAGGTGGAATACAATGAAATTATAAACAGCAGAGGTGGGAGAGGAAGGACAGAAGGGAAAAAAGGAGAGTAGAAGTGGAGGACTAGGGGAGCTCTGGTGGCCTAGTGGCAAGAAGCTGCACTGCAATCCCAGAGGCACACGGTTCAAATCCACCAGATGCTCTGCCGGGGAAGGAGGGACAATCTCCTCCTGTACCAGTCAGATCCGATTTGACGGTACACACACACACAAAATTAAAAAATAAAAAAAAATTTAAAAAAGTGGAGGACTGCTATTGTGGGGGGTCTGACTAAGGTCATTGAGGTTAATTCCAGGACTACAAGGAGAAGTTCCTGTCAAGTAGGAACTTTATAAAATGTTATCATTTAATCCTTACAAGGAGGCTTTATTGTTATTAGCCCTGACTCACGGTTGACCCTATGCACAGAATGAAACTCTACCCACTTCTGTACCATCTCCATGATCAGTTGCAGACTGGACTGCTGAGGTCCATAGGGTTTTCATTGGTTCATGTTTAGTAGATTACAAGGCTTTGCTTCCTAGTCCGTTTTAGTCTGGAAGCTCTGCTGAAACCTGCTCAGCATAACAACACATAAGCCTCCACAGGCCGATGAGTGCTGCAAAGGTGAGAATTCTACCACTGAATCATGACTGGGCCCAAGAGGTAGACGCTGTTTCCCCACCTTTTTTTACAGATAAGAAGTTGAAGTAAAATCATGAGCAGTAACTTTTCAAGCCAAGAGATTCAAATGCAGGCAATCTTGCCCCAGAGTCTTAACTCTTAACTGCTACCTGTACTGCTTCTATTCACTAATAGATTTCCTGGGGGGGGCACAGAAAAATTATAGCTCTTAGAGGCATAAGAGGTTGGTGTGGGAATGGGTAGCAATTTAGGATAGATTCCCTGGTGCTTGCTATCTTTTATCAAGCTGAGAACTCTATGGAGTCAAAACATGGAATGGATCCCACAGACTACCTCCTAGTATTCCCACAGGCTGTAGCTAGAACTCACAGATATTAACACATTTGACTAGGCAGGAAAAACTGTCCTAGGCCTGCATGTGAATTTGGCACGGCTTCTAGAACCTACTGCAGGGTTTGAACCTCTAAGAGTTTGCAGCTCTGAATCTGAGGAGGTCTAGGACAACTCCCCCCCACCCCCCACTCTTCTGTATTTGATGAAGGGTATGACCCTTCCTGGTGTCCTAGACAGCACAGGCCTTTGTCCTGGAAGTTGGGCTCTTAGCCTCACCTTCACTATTCTCCAGGATATTGGGGGCAAAGCCACCTTCATCTCCCACATTGGTGGCATCCTTGCCATACTTGTCCTTGATGACCCCCTTGAGTGTGTGGTAGACCTCCGCCCCCAGTCGCATAGCATCCCGAAAGCTCTCAGCACCCACTGGGAGGATCATGAACTCCTGCATGGCCAGCTTGTTCCCAGCATGAGAGCCACCATTGATCACGTTGAAGGCCTAGGGAGCCGCGGGAAGAGAAAAGAATCAGTCTTCCCTCTCCATCCTTGGAGTATTAACCCAAGATCCCATTGTCATTTCAACCCCAAATCTGTTCCAGTTTCTCAAATTCGAGTCTTGTGCTCCACCCTTTCTCTTTAGGCACCCCAATAACTTCCCTCCCATCATTCTCATCGGGTTTACCACTGATTCTCTCCCACCCCCCCTTAGGATAGGTGGGGACAAGGAGCAGTGCTCACCGGCACAGGCAGGATGAGGTCAGAGTTCCCAGCCAGCTGAGCAATGTGGCGATAGAGGGGCAGTTCCCTCTCCGCTGCCCCTGCTTTACACACAGCCAGGGACACACCCAGGATGGCATTGGCCCCAAACTTGGCTAAGAGATTAAAGAGGAGGACACTGAGCAAAATAGGGGCCCTTCTTCCAGCCCGTGCCACCACCAATGATCCCCAAAAGGAGTAAGACACATCCCTCCTCTATAATAGGACCTTCAGGAGGTCTGTGCATCCCATCCGTTCTCCTCTGCATATAGTAAGGAAGGAGATCATGAAGAGGAGATGGATGATGGGGAAGGGCAAAGAGCTGACTTTTTAAATATACCCAAGAAGAAACCACAGATAGTCTCACTCCAGCTCCTTTTTATATTGGAAAGAACTTTCTGTTTAACATCACTGCCTCCCACTGCAGTTAAACTCATCTTCACTTCCTCTGGCTTTAGGAACATAGAAGAAGGGCTACTTTTCACATATCCACCCTCATGCCTACCCACCTTCTCCCAGCACCTTGCTTACATTTGTTTTCAGTCCCATCCAGCTCTAACATCAGGTTGTCCAGTTTCTCTTGTTCCACCACAGAGATGCCCTGTGGACACAGCCCCCATCACGCAGGATCACCCATCACTCCTATTACTCAGGACAAAGATAAGTGCTGGGTCCTAGGACCGAGTCCCACCCCAACTCACACACAGGCTCACATGCAGCCAGAGTGCAACAAGATCCCTCTGACAGGGCTGGCATGGATTAAAAAACTTAACTTCCTCACAGAAGAAAAGGGCAGTAAAGAATCTCCTCCCCGCCTTCCCCCTTGTATCCACGACTCCCTAATAGTGGACTTTTCTCCTTTTCCTCCCTCTCCCATCCAAGATTTCTTCCTGGCCCCTGGTCCTGCCATCTCCAGCAAAAAGTGAGCCTCACTGAGCTGATGAGGGCTGGAGCGATGGTGGTGTTGATGTGGTCCACTGCCTTCAGGACACCTGGAAAGAGACAGGGATGAGTCAGGCTAAAGGTGCCAGAGGAAGAAGGGGGAGGGCATGCTAGAATGTCTTTGTGGACTGGTGTGAGGGCTGAGGGGTCAGCCGGCCTAGAATGGAGACAGAGCCTTACCTTTGCCTAAGTAGCGTTGTTTGTCACCATCCCTCAGTTCCAAGGCCTCATAGATTCCAGTGGAAGCTCCACTGGGCACTGCAGCCCGGAAAAGACCTGGGAGAAGAATGTGGAATGAGGAGGGAAGGAAGACAAGGACACATACTGGGTCAAGATTACTTCTGTCTTCCAGTCCTGAACTGCTGACTGCCACATCCAGCCCTCACGTTGCTCTTTAAGGGTCTCTGTCTCTCTCTGTCTCCCATACACACACACACACACAGAGTACCTGATGCACAAGGTCATCTAATGCCCCATGGAAATACAGCTGTGCCAGCCAGGTAGCACATATATAACAAGGACAAGTGCAGATGCAAACACGCAGAGGAGAGGCGTACCTCATGCTAGACCATAGAGATCTGCCTATTCTGGCTCTCCTACACCAGGGATCCACACCCCTCGACCCCAGGCTTTCAGCTTGGCTCAGCACCCCATCCCCACTGGGAAACCAGGAAAGTCTCCCATCCCACACCAATTCAGATTCAGCATGGGATGGAGAGGAGGGGGCTGTAGAAAGGCCCATGCCCCACCCATTACCTTTGGCAGTGTGGAGATCCACCTCCACCGTGGGGTTCCCACGGGAGTCCAGGATCTCCCGGGCCCAAATCTTCTGTATTGACATGATGCCTGGGATCTCCTAGGGTGGAAATGAAGGTAGCAGAAATACAAGAGGCTTAGAAGGGTGGAGCCTGAGATCTGTGGGAGGGGCCAAAGGCAGGGAGGGATGGGAGAGAGGTTACTGCAGTGAGTGCGGGTGGGGTGGGTGGGGAGGAGCTGGCTGCAGTCTTATGGTTGAAGAAGGTATCTCCCTGCCCCCCACCTTGGGGCTCAGAGAAGGTCAGTGCAGTGAGGAGGGGGAAGTCACTGCAGTGGGAGGTAGGGTAAGATCAAAACATGAGATAGGTCCTGCAATGAGGAAGGGGGGAGCAGTGAGTCCCTCGCCCCCTCAGCAGCTGGCTGTTGGGGTTCCCCCAGATCTGAGAGTGGAATGGCTGCCAGGCTTGTATTTCTCCGTAAAGCCAGAAAGAGGAGGGGCTGTCTGGCCTGCCTCACTTCGCTCCTCCACCGGGATGACAGCACCATCCCAACAACCCCCATTCAACGCTACAGCTTTCTAGCCGCGATATGGCCTACACTTCAAGGCTCCAATCTCTCTCCCAAATGTGTGCCCCTCCTCTTCCCAAGACAGTGCCGAGAGCAGGCTGGCCATAAGAGTCCTGGATTTGCAGCAGCGAGGGAGGTGGAGGAAAGACCCGATAAGAAAGTCAAGGCTCGGTCAGACCTCTCCCCTCCCCAGACAATCCCTCTTCCCATCCCTCCCACGCACGGTTGGGAGTAGGAAATGGAAAAGCTAGAAGAGGGGCGACTTGGGGGAGGGGAAGCAGAGTCTAGAAGTCTGGAGAGCAAAGGAAGGATCAGGGAAGGCATTCCACGAAATATAAAGCCAAGGGAACGAGGGGCGGGGGAGGGGGGGAAGATTCCTTCATCAGGAGACCCGAACTTAAAAAAATAGACAAAACCAGGGGCGACAAGGTGGGGGAAAAGAGCAGGCAAAGGTGGAGAAGGCGCAGTCAGGAAAAGGTGCACAGAAGCCAGACACCTAAGTGAGGAGGGGGCGAGCACCAGCAGTAGAGAAGGGTCCGAGAAGGCCAGGGAAGGAGGCCACCGGGCAAGGCGCGGTGACCAAGCAGGTGCTCAGCGCAGCGGCGGGGAGAAGCGGGAACCCGGGCGCAGGGTGGGAGGCGCGGCGGGGAGGGAGAGCTTGGAGCCCTAGGCAGGCCGGGGCTTCACCTCGCGTCTGCAGACTCTGCCTGTGGCGACGCGGTGTCGGCGGCGCAGAGAGAACGGGAGTGGCGGCGGTGGCGACAGATGCGGCTCCCCGGCGGCGGGCGGAGGGTGGACGGGGGGAGGCGCCGATAGGACCGGGCGGGCGCATGTGACCCGGAGCCCCTGTTGAGTCAGGAGCCGCTGGCGGAGGCGCACGTAGGAGCGCGGGTGAGGGACCCACGAGGGTTGGAGGGAGGGTTCGAGCAGATAGATGACGGGGGGGGGGGGGGGGGCTGGGAGCGACCCTGGCCCTAGCCCCCACGCCTGCGCTCCTACCCACTCCAAAATAACGAGCACACACTCATTCCATTAATCCCCGGACGCGAGCTCACACTGCCAGCGAAACCGCTGGTAGACTGAACCTCACAAACCAGGTCAGGCACAAGTCTCAAAAAATGTTTCTTTATTTGAAAATGGAATTGTTTCTCGACACACCAGTCCGCTTCGGCCTCCGCAGTTCTCAACCAACACTGGAAGCATTCAAGGGGCTTATCCAGTCTGTCTAAGCCTGGCTCCCATCCAGATCTTCGTGGGAGTGGTCGCCGCGGTTACCCCCCCCCAAGGGGTCACAGAGCTCAGACCCACCAGCACCCCATTGTCCGGTTCTGGCACAGATCCTGGGCCACAAGCTGTGATGAGTTTCCAGCTCAGAGACAAAAGTAGGCATCCTCTGTCCCTGGTGAGGAGTGTAAAGGTGGGCGTCCCCACTGGTGGTGATGCCAGGTCTTCGGGCCAGCCCATTACTTCCTAGAGGAAGATAAAGGACTTTCAGTTAGAGTCTCTGCTCTCATCCAAATGCCCAGCTGCCCAGCCGCCTTGTGCCAATGTCCATTTCTTTCTGCCCCACCCTGCCCTCCTTTCTTCACACTTCCTTACAACCTCTAAGCCTGTGTCCTGCGAATTTCAGCGTCAGATTTTGGTGTTGGATTTTCCTCTCCTGCATGCCTTCTTTCCTAGGCATAGGTGTGTTCCTCATAAACCATTACCTACTTGGATCTGTCCTCTATTAAGTGGCAAGTATGGCTACCCACCCATTCCCCAAATTAATAATTTTCACTTATTCTACAGGCTTCTGCGGCTTTTCTCAGCAGCTCCAAGGCCCTTCAAATCCTCAATCCGAGGTGTCCCTGACTCCTAACCTCAGTCTCTTCAATGGTTCTCCTTGCTTTATCCCTTCCCTCACTATTCCTCATTCAACTAATTTTACAGAAACTTCTATTCCCCTATCTACCCACCCTTGGCCTTCTCTTCCCACCTTTCTGCTGTCTTCCTTACCATGCTCCAAGACAAAATTGCTGCTAGTTTATTGACTGGCTCAGGTCCTCTTCATGCCCAGACTCAGTCTGATACTCTTGCTCCTCCTTCATCCTCTGGCGGATCTCCTCAGCCTCAACCCGGTCTTCTTCCTCATAGAAGTCTTTGTCCAGCCGTTCAAGGTGTGCCATATGCACCAGGGCCTCCTGCCGGTAGTCACTCTCATCTGCACATGGGTTTTCCAGAAGCACCAGGGCCCGAAGCTTGGGCAGGTCCTGAAGCTTGGTCAGCTCCCTCAGGTCAGCCACCATATTGCCCCTGCCAAGTGGGATCAGGAGGGGCTCACTCAGGAATAATGGGCTTTGGGGGCCAACCTGTCTCTGGACTAGGACCTGAGAGGGAGGACTCCCTCACTGGGCTTTTGTTTCCTTCGAAACCTGCCCCTGTAGGTCCACCTGCTAAGCCTCACCAGCTTTGATGTAGACATGCAACCTAACCCCACTCCTGTCCTGCTTCCATTCCTCAAGGAATCCCCAAGTACTGAATTATGCCTGTAATGTTCTTTAGCCTTTTGGCATAGCAAAGTTAGGCCACAGCGCCATCCTGTAGTAGTACAAGAGGATGGAGGAAATCTGGCCAAGGACAGACTTTTTTCTGTGTCAATCAATCTCAGAGGTTAGAAGGCAGGCACTAAGAATGGGCTTAGGGTGGAGATACTATACTGTGGTTCCTCACAGCAAAAGAGCTTAGAACTAGTGCTAGGCTGAAGTATCTTACCCTAAAGAACAAGCTCCATTTCTTTTATGCTTCATTATATAATAGTCTGTATTGAGTCTTGTGTTCTTGTCTTCAAGCTTTTACTGAAATCATGCCCTCTAAATATTTCAACCTTATCCCAAAGGGACACTGAAGGCAGTTTGTGCCGGATTGCCCTGTACATTGCAGGATGGCCTTGGTTATTGTTGTTCAGTGCTGTCGAGTCAAATACAATTTACATCAACCTTGTGAACAACAGATCTAAACCCTGCTGTACACTGTGCCATCCACAAAATCTCTGACACATTTGAGCCCATTGCTGCAGTCAGTCACTGTCAGTCTACCTGGTTGAGGGTTTTTCTCTCCTTCGACATCCCTCAGCCTTTCCAAGCATTATGTCCCTCTCCAAGAAATAACGTCTCCCAAGCAACATGCACAAAGTATGAGAGACAAAGCTGCAAGCTTCATCATCTTTGCTTTCAAGGAGCACTGGTCTAACTGCACCTGCTCCAAGACTTAGCGGTTCTTTTGTCAGCCCATGGGACAGTTATTGAGACAACCCAAACACAATACCTTCAACACACACACACACACACACACACACACACACACAGTTAGCAGCCACTGGGAAAGGGTCCTTTATTCCTGCTTAAATGGTTAACGAAAGAAAAGCACCTTCACCACTAGACCAAATTAAGCAAGACACTGTCCCCGGGGTTAGGGGCAGGGGTGAGGGCTTCGAGGGGATCACCACATCTCTCTCCTTATCTCCTCTTGGAGTTTTTTCCATTGCCACCAACCTTGAGGATTTGGTCTTGTTCATCAAGGAAAGAGGCCATTTCCTTACCTCTTTGTTTAAAGAAACACACAATATCCTCCTGATACCAGAAAGGAACTGCTGAAAGAAAATTTCTCTTGTTGCTTAGTATCTTTCTATCTCGAGATCTTCTTTCAAATACTCTTCTTTCCTCAAATCTGAGTGCACCTTGATTTTTGTATCAGTAAGAGGGCCTTTCCTTACAAGTGGGCATCAGGGGAAGAAAAGTAGAACATGGAAAGGAGAATTGAAGTCTGGGAGATGGAGAGGGACAGAGGAAATTCTTAAGTGGGTTGTTGGATGACATTGAGTTGACTTTTGCCCTCATAGTAATCCCATGTGAAAGAGTAGAAACTCCCCATAAGGTGTTCTAGGCTCTGATATTTATCGAAGCAGATCATCTGGTCTTTCTTCCTTGGTGCCCGCCCCTAGGTGGGTTCAAAATGCTAACATTTGGTTCACAGTCAAGCACTTAAGCTTTGTAAGTTGTTGTTGTTATGTGTTGATTCAGAACCAACTGATGGCTAACCCTCCAATGGGTTTTCAAAGGCTGTAAATCTCACAGAAGGAAACTGCCTACTTTTCTCCCACAGAGCAGCTGGTAAGTTGGAACCCTATCCCTATGCTTTTGGGTTGGCAGTGCAATTCCTTATCCACTCATCCACCAAAGCTGCCTAACCATTACAGGTAGACCTAGGGTGAAAAAGAGTTGCAGCCAAATTATAAGGCCTTAAGACTCTATAGTCCCCAAACACAGCACAAGGCCTGGAGTATAGATACCATATTCCCAGTAATTGTGGGTTAAATGAATAAGGATTCAGGATTCTCAGTCTTGGTTTGACAATTAGGGTGGAATTCAAGCACAAGGAAAAGAGAAATGAGGTAAGGATAGAGAATCTGGTATTGGAAGGCTTGGAGAGTGAGAGCCAGAGAGGAATAGAGGGTTAAAAGCTGCTCTGGTCATGGTTAAGAGCAAGGTGATGGTGGGATATACCTTAGGTTGAGGTACTGCAGTGATTTCATTTCCCCAGAGAAGCCAGTTAGAGTTTCAATCTGGTTGTCTCGAAGATGCAAGGTTGTAAGATTGCTCAGATTCTCTAAGCCTTCCACCTTCTTCAGCATGTTCTGTGCCTAGACTCAGTAGAGGGGTGAATTGGAAGAGATAGAAAGAGTTAGGGAAGATGCAGTCAGAAAGAGGTAAATGAAGCAAAAGAGGAAATCCAAGAGGTAGAGATGGGATGGAGTGGGGAAGAAGATGGAAGGTTAGAGATCTGTGAAGAGTAAAGAAATCCAGAAGTAGCTGCCATGTCAAAAAGGTCCTACCACATACACTGTTATCTTCAAAGCCACCTTTGATTAGAAAACCCATCCTTGGGCCCAGGAGCCCCCACTCCTCTGCTGAGGAGAAGTGATTTTAGCATCATCTTGGAATGAAGATGCTCAAGAGTCTAAAAGATTAAACATTTAAGCAGGCCCTGATGTCTGTACTCCAGTTATGGCTTATTATTATATTGCTATTTGTGGCAAAGCAAATTATGCCTGTATCATCCATGCATTATGTATCATCATCCCTGCTAGGTGGTGAACATTATCTGTTTTAACTTTTTGTATTCCACAGCATCTGGCAAAGGACTTGATACATGATGCCTGTTACTGTTTTGATGATGAAGTTAATGACTGAGTCTATTAGAAACCAGGCATCCTGGCCCCCAGGTCAATGTTCTTTTCCTCACCCAACCTCTGACCCCGTGAAGTTACCAGGAAGAGGTTCTTCAGCTTAGGCAGGTTGATCCCCAGGGTGCTTTCCAGTTGGTTTCCCCGAAGCTCCAGTGTGTGCAGGCTGTTCAGCTTTTGGGGGTCCAGACCTGTTACCATGTGGATCTGGTTCCCTGGAGAGAAAGAGGGTCAGGAGTCCCAAGGGCCACAAAAGGACACTACAGGTGTCCAAGAGGAGAGCTTGATTTCTGGGAATCTCTGCATCATCCTCACTTTCTGAGTGGACAGTGAAAACAATCAGTTTCAGATATAACACCGTGGACCCCTAAAGGACCAACCTTTGAGGTCTAGGCTGCCCAGACGAGGATGACAGATGCCCTCGGTGTCTGTGATCTGGTTATATGCAAAGCTGGCAATCTGCAGATAGGGCAGTTCATCCAGGTGCGCACTGCGAAGACGGTTGCCATCAGCCTTGAGCCAGAGCAGGTGAGTGAGGGAATTGAGGGGGGACAAGTCTGTCAGGTGGTTCTCAGAAACGTCCACATAGCGCAGATGGATGTAGGAGCGCAGCAGGTAGATGTCTGTCAGATCCCTAGATGGTCAAAGTTAGGGTTAAGTCAAACACGGTAGCCGTTCTGAAGCAAAGGGCCATATAGGGAGGTGACTTATAATGCAGAGAAGAACTGAGACAGATTGAGAGTTAAGGCAGGGGAAAGAAGGTAGACACATGTTCCTAACAATGGCCAGGGACCAGTGAAAGATAAAGAGCTGACACTCAGGACAAGTGAGGGAATAGGAAGTCCGCCAGGAATCTCTACGTATTTGCAGTTGTGCTGCAATCCCTCCGCGGAAGAAGGATGGACAATCTCCTCCCAGAGCAATTAATTAGCTGCCTTTGAAAACCCGCTGGAGGGGAGCTCTGGTGGCCTAGTGGCAAGAAGCTGCACTGCAATACCAGAGGCGCATGGTTAGAATCCACCAGGTGCTCTGCCAGGGAAGAAAGGGCAATTTCCTCCTGTACCAGTCAGATCCGATTTGACGGTACACACACACAGAAAAATAATAATAAAAAAAAAATTTAAAAAAAGAAAACCCTCTGGAGGGTCAGTTATGGGTCCCCTCCAACTCTAGGGTACAAAACAACAATCCCCCAAATCAGCTCTGATACAGAAAGTCTTAAAGCTCCTGAAAAATTCTATCTTCCCTTTATCATTAGGCTAGGATGAGAGCAATCCAGACTCTCCTTTTAAAAAAGTGAAAAAATAGGAATGAGCGTGGGAAAGGAGATAGAGCCCTACAAAGCTGTTTTCTTCCGGCCCTCCACAACCCACCTCTTTTTGAGCTCCAGCTTGATATATGCATGAGCCAGCCCATTGCCAGTCTTAGAGAGCAAAGAAAGTGCTTCCTTCATCAAGTCCTCGGTGAGGGGATTGGGTATCAACTGCAGAAAATAGTGGAGTCAGGCATCTATTTCTGCCCAGTGAATCCCTTGGCCCTAGGACCCTTCTCTTTCCAAGCCCTCACATCCTCAGAGGAGTCTTCCCCCTCTCTCCTGTACTCCTCCTCGCCCTCCTCTGTCTCCTTCTCATCATCTTCTTTTTCAAGATCATCTTGGTATGTCTCAAAGTCTTCCAATTCATCATCTGACATCTTTTTTCCTGGCTGAAGGCTTTGGAGTCAGGTCAAGTTCAGTCCTTTCCTTGAGAAAGAAGGTGTCCTTAGTTTATGCCAACGCTCAGCCCCTTCCCTTCCAGTGGCCAGCTACTCTCTCACCACCCTATTCCCTGACCTCCTAACTATGCTCCCGTCCACATTGTTGTGATCATCTAATCTAAATTTTACTACAATCTCCACTTCATAATTCCCACTAAGGATTGTTCTCCCTGTACGATGCCTTCTCTTGCCATGCAAAATGGCTCTAAACTCTCCAGTGGCCCAGCTTCTCCACATTCTGAACTCCCTTCTCTGTACCCATCTCCCTACCTCTTCTTTTAAGGCAAGTTCTCCTCCAATCTCCTCTACTCCTAACTTCTCTTCCTTCACCCTCTTCTGCCCTCTCTGAATCCGACCCCTGCACCACTTATTTCCCCTAACTTTCCATTCCCTTTTCTCTGTCTCTGGGCTGCCTTCTTGATGCGCATTCTCTAACCCTCCCACCCGGAGCGACCTTGGCAAAGGATCACACACGCTGGTTCTGCTCAACTAGAAGCAATTTTGGAGAGGGTCTTGGCCTGGGAGACTTGTTTTGGAAGAGGGGCAAGTCGGAAGGAGGAGTTGTGTACTGCGCTATGGCAACGGATGAAGGGGGCGGGACACTTGGCTGGCGCGGCAGGGAACGGTTGAGGCTGGAGTTACATCTAACTGAAAGGAAAATCCGCCCCAGAGGAGGTGGATCAGTTGCCTGGTTACCAGGACACGTTTCTCATCCTTGGAACCCGGATGAGGCTCAGAGGGGAGTCAGGGCAATAATTGGCGGAGGGCAAAGAACAGTGGGCAGGGCCTAGAGCAGGGCTGAGGGGAGGGGCTGGAAAAGGAGCTGTGACTTAAGTTTTAGGAATTAAAGGGACTCAATGTCCTTAGTGCAAGAGTATTGTGAGTTTAGTATGAAAACACTAAGCCCACAGGCTTTAATCTGTGGTGTTGGAAAAAAGGACAGAATAGCCCATGAACTATCAAAAGCACAGATATGTATGTCTTAGAGAAAGTGTAGCCAGAGTGCTCCTTAGAGGCATAGATGACAAAGCTTAGTCTCACACACCTTGGGAATGTTGTTACAAGCTGTTATTTGGAGAGGGGCCTCATGCTTGAAAAGGTGGAGAGAGTTGGCAAACGAGAGGAAGATCTTGGATGAGATGGATTGACACAGTGATTGCAGCAATGGATACAAGAGTGTCAGAAATGATGAGGGTGGCACAGAATAGAACAGGGTTTGTTACTGAACGCAAGGGGTTCTTTCCATATGGATTGCAATATCCATAAATGCACTTTATTACAGATCTGTGGAGGACAGTGAGTCTCAAACTTCCTCCCCGTCTGGGAGTGACCATCAGGTTTTATACTAGGTTGAAACTCTAGCTCTTTTAACAGTGCACTTTTGTTAGTAAAAAAAGGTAATTAAGACACAATTTACATATGACTGGAGAACCAACTTCACCAGGATCTAAGATAGAAGCATTTCCTCTTTTGGTAAACAGACAAATCAAACTACTTTACATGACTAAAGACAGGAAGCAGAGAATTTGGAGGCTAAGTAACTAGTTTTGCAGGCTGAAGAAAACTGATGTTAGTTTTATAATTATATAACTATAATTTTATAACTGATAGATATATAGAGAATTCTGAACTTATTAAAACCACTCTACCAGGTTCAGATGTGTTCTTGTTCATAGGGTCCTTATGAGTTTTCTTCGACTTGACTGGCACCTAACCAAAGAAAAAGGGGCAGGAAAGAGAGAGGAACAAGAAATACCAATGTAAGTGACCTACATGCCCCTACCTTCTATTTAGTTAGATCTTTGGAAGGTGGCTTTGTGAAATGTAAGGCAACAGTGCATACCTCCCTTGAGATCTGGATTTTAATCTTCATAGATCTGCCATTTACTCTGTATTTACCTAAAATTCCCCTCACTTCATCTGTAAAACTGGTTTAACAACAAATAAATTTCATTTCACTTGGATCCACAATCAATAACTATGATTGCAACAGTCAAAATGTCAAAAGAGGTGTTGTTACGGAACGTAAGGGGTTCTTTCAGTCGCAAATAAGACAAACGGACTGCAATATCCGTAAGTGCACTTTATTACACAGCTCTGGGAGACAGCGAGTCACCTCTAAGACTGCCTCCTCGTCTGGGAGTGGTCCAACTCATTTAACAATGCACTTTTGTTAGTAAAAAAAGGTAATTTCTACATCTGAAAAGGACAGTTCCCATCTATGTATCAGTAATTCAGGAAGGCCCCAGTTCTCCTCCTGGTAAGACACAGTTTACATATGACTGGAGAACCAGCTTCATCAGGCTCTAGGATAGATGCATTTCCTCTTCTGGTAAACAAACAGATCAAACTACTCTACATGACTAAAGACAGGAAACACAGAATTAGGAGGCTAAGCAACTAGTTTTGCAGGCTGAAGAAAAAGAACTGTAGTTTTATAACTGATACCTATATAGAGAAGTCTGAACTTATTAAAACCACCCTATCATTCCCCACTCTTTATATATAAGTCTTATATCTATAAGACAAACATACCACCCCATCAGTGTTGCATTGGGAAAATCTGTTGTTAAGGATTTCTCTAGAGTGCTAAAGAGCAACAGTACAGTTTAAAGACTAACACAATGAATGAATAAAAACCCAAGCTCTCTGTACACCTTTGTTAAGATCATAACAAAAAATAATAAAGACTAAGGTGTACGTGATCCAAGCCATGGTATTTTCAGTTGCTTCTGAAGCATCTGAAAGTTGGGCAGTGTGTAAGGAAGACAAATGAAAAATAAATCAATGCCTTTAAATTGTAGTGCTGGAGAAGACTACTGAATAACTCACGGACTGTCAAAGGAACAAACAAATCAGTCTTAGAGGAAGTGTAGGCATGATGCTCCTTAAAAGCAAGGAGGGTGAAACTTGGTCTTACATACTTTGGGCATGTTGTCAGAATGGCCAGTCCATGGAAAAAGACATCATTCTGGGAATATGGAGGATGAGAGAAAGAGAGGGAAACCTCAAGGAGATGAACTTATACAGTGACTGGAACAGTGGGCTCCTAAGAATGGTGTAAGGTAGGGCACGGTTCTGATCTGTTGTTCATAGAGGCCTTACAAATCCTAGTTGACTTGATTGCAAAAGCATCAAGAACAATACTGGTCCAGAGAGCTGTGATGGCTTAGTCAATAGGGAGTTGTTCTGTTAACTCCAAGGTAGCTCCCTGGGAGTTCGAATCCACAAGTAATTCCACTCAAGAAAGATGGGCAATCACCCCCTTTGTGATTTACACCCTAAACTCTGCTGAAGATCAACTAGGAATCAGTTCTGACTCAATGGCAATGATTTTGAGAATATTGGTTTATTAAACCAATATTGTGCTTAAAAATTTCAATCTTTCTTCACATATCCTATACTGGTTTGATGAAAATCCAACATTCACCTGATTAAAATACTCCTTAGTCAAAGTTATTACATAAATTATCAATCAACAAGAATGGGTAAAATCAAACCCAGGTGCACAGGCCTGTGTGACATATTGAAGGAGATGAAAAAGAGGTAGATAGATTGAGATGGAACAAACATCTATGGGAATCTGCCAGGCCCTGTGTGGGATGCCTTTACACGGATATTTAATCTTCACACAATCCTGAGAAAGAGACATTATAAAGAGGTCATGAACTTAGGAAGGTTAATACATCATGGCACAATTCTTGATTGAGGGAAAGGGAATATTACCAATCTTATTGTGAAATCTAAGTAAAACAATCAGATAATGAGATAAACTACAACATAGCTAAATTGTTAAATTGTGTGTATAGACTTTGTGACATGCAGTGTGGTCTAGTGGAAGATATAGTGTGCTTGTTAAGTGCCCTCAAGTCAACTCCCATGAACCTTCCCCTATCCTGTGGCAGTTTTACGATCTGTCATTCCCTTGCTCAAACCCATTGTCCCAGGCATTGTGCCAATTCATCTCCTACAGGGTCTTCCTCTCTCTCTCTGTTCCTCTACCTTTCCCAGCATAATGATTCTTAAAACATGTCCAAAGAATGTGAGACCAAGTTTCACCATCTTTGTCTCTAAGAAGCACCCTGATGGCACTTTTTCCAAGATAGGTGTTTGTCATTTTGGCAGTCAATGGTATATTCAATACTCTTCAGCAATGCCACAATTCAAAAGCATCCATTTTTGTTTTTTTCTTCCTTATTCATTGTACAATTTTCAGGTGCAGAGGAAGCAATTGAAAGCATGATGACTTGGATCAGATACACCTTAGTCTTCAAACTAATATCCTTACTCTTTAGCACTTTGTAGACGTCTTTGACAACAGATTTCCCCCATCTTTTGATTTCTTGACTACTGTTAGGATGGATGTTGACTATGAATCCAAGTCAGATTAAGCCATTCACAATGTCAATCTTTTCTCCTTCTTTCATGTAGTGATTTTTTTATTTTCTTGATCTTGAGATGTAGTCCATACTGAAGGCTGTACTCTTTGATCTTCTGCAGCAGTAATTTCAGGTCCTCTTCATTTTCAGAAAGCAAGGTTGTGTCATCTGCATAAAGCAGGTTGTTGATGAGTCTTCCTCCAATCCTGATTTTGCATTCTTCTTCATATAGTCCAGCTTCTTGGACTATTCAGCATACAGATTAAATATATATGGAGAAAGGATATACCCATTATGTATACCTTTCTGGATTTTAAATTATGCCGTATTCTCTTATTCTGTTTGGAAAACTACTTCTTGTTTATGTATAGGCTTCACATGAACACAATTATTATAGGATTCCCATTTTTCTCAATGTTAGCCATAATTTGTTATAATCCACTTAGTCAAATGCCTTTACATAGTCAATAACACACAAATAAACATCTTTCTTTGACTTCTAGTCCCTCTACTTTGTTTCCAATTTTTGCATTCCAGTCACCAATTATTCCTTTTGTTTAATTTTTTTTATATTACTCAACTTTCACAGCAAGCAAAGTAGGCA